GCAAAATTACGTTCCCGTTAAGAATAGGCGCCTTTAAGCATTCAAGAGTTTCGAGCAGAACCGACAAAAATGTTTTAAATTCTTGGAATTTTAGCATTTGGTATTAATGTATATACAGTGAAAACAGCAAACACACTGTTTCTAACCATACTTTCTAAACTCTAGCCTCGAGATTATCCAGCCACAAAATTCTGATAAAAGAAAGCTGTTTCTGTTCATAATTTCAAAATCTTAACCTAGGGATAACAAATTACAAAATTTTGATCAAAGAATACCTATTTATTTCAAGTGAGTGACTGTTTAGTTTCATTTGTAAATTAAGCCTATTGCTTGGTGAACTTGTAGAATTTGTGGCAGAGGAAATAAAACGCTTTCTATTTGTTAAGTGAACTGGACTTTGTATTATTTTACAGTATACTCAAAAAGAAACTTCTCAACGATAGAAACCGCTACAACACATATTCTTCATATGATAATCGAATTTGTAAATTTCAAAACAGTCGAAGATTATACACATTTTTAGCTATTTCTAAGGTGTTTTAAAATTAAACTGATATTGATTTGAAGCCAAATTTTCAGTTTATTGATTTTCAACAGAATCTACGAATTTACTGCTCATGAATATCAAAAGTCACAAAAGCTTGACTTCAAAAACTAAGCCTCAATATTAAAGCAAACTATTCCACCAATTTGCTAAAAAAAGATGTTGTTTTGGAAATTTTTCGTGCAAAGCTACACTAGGGTTATCTTCGCTTAGCCATCTCTAATTATGAACTGATAATCTAGAAGGAAAGCAGTCAACAAAACCTACAGCCAACTATTGGGCTATAGTAGGATTTCAACACTACTCGTTATAGTACATTCAACGCTCCAAAGTGCGAGGCAATATTTTGAGCTACATTTCATAGTCTCGGCACGATATATACAAGGCCACGCCCGGCCTTATAAAAAAGATGTAACATTTATTCTATGATAAATCAATAATAAAGTTATATACGTCGTATTTACTAAATAACATCATACAATTGATGACGTAAATGTTGCTATGTCTGGTTTTGATGTATAGTCCCTTACTCATCACTAATAACATAAATTACCTTAGATGCTCAAATAACATGTGATATCATCACCTTTAATTATCTGTTATTATTCAGCGGACTAACAGGTTATGAATGAGAAGGAAATTCACAAGTAAATAAACAGTCAGTTACTGCCCAGTCTTTCGTATTTTAGCCGGCCTGATGAGCCCTGCGGGAATGCTTCATCGGCACTGGATATGACAGATATAGTGTGGTTGACATATTATTATGTTTTCTACTTTGTTTTCATTCATAAGTTGTTAGAATGATTACGCATTAATATTGATTGTAGTTTAATTTAAAATAAATTAACAATAAATAAGTCAAGATAAATTGGACAATATTTAGCTACCAGATAGAGCTTCAACTATAGTGTTTGATAATACCAAACTACATTTGAACAATAATAATAATAACCAGTGGTGGGATTCAGCCGGTTCGTGCGAACCTGTTCTTAGAATTTAACGACCTCCACGAACCGGTTGTTAACAATCGTATGTAC